TGCGTGGCCCTGAGGTGAGGGGTGACTAGGAGACTATTGTAAGAGGAGTTGGGAGATCGAAAAGGGAGGAAAGAGGATTACTGAATGTGGGAAGTTTGAATGCAATCAGGCACAGCTCCCCAAGTTTTCCTTTTAAGAGCAACGTGGGCCTTGTAATCAAGGTCAGGGGTTCAGATCCCCCACACCAGCCAGACACCAAGAAAGAGAAAGAAAAGCTTGTATACAGAATTCATCAGAGGTCATATAGCATCTACTTCCAACTCTCATTTTACAGAGCTAGAAGTTGAAGCTGAGAAAGGTTCCCCAAATCCAGTTGGGTGCACAGCCAGAACCAGAATTCAGGTCTCCTTCTCCCCTCCTCACCCCAATCCTTTTCATCAGCTAGTATTCATCCTCTTGTTAAAACAACAAAAAGTGGGTAAACACATATATATTATCATCATTTTTCTCCCCCAACTTTATGTATATGTGGTAGGATACAGCAAAATGTCAATTTTCTCTGGTTATGACTAGGTGATTATTTCCTTTATACTTTTTCTCAATTTTCCCCCTGAATAAACCCCATATAGATGCTTTATAATAATCAAAACAGCCTTACACAAATTCCTCAGCTCCTCACACCAACCCTATGAGGTTCTATTAACTTCATTTAACAGATGAAGCAACAGGCTCAGGGAGGGATTTCCTTTTATATTCAGTTCTTTTTATTATATGAAGGCACAGGTATTACTTTTCAAAATAGAAAAAAAGGCTTGCATTATATCCATACAGAAAAATCATTAATCCTGGTGATTCACTACCCATCATATTTAGTTTTCTACACTATGACTAACAAGCTCCTATAAATCAAATCTGAAATTAAAGGAATTAAGTCTATAGCCTTGAGTCCATTCTATTAAACCTATTACCTAGAAAGAACATGGACTTAAGAATAAGAAAATATTTTAGTGAGTGTAAATACAGAGATTTCAGTCCAAGTCAAGAACATAAATCTTTAAAGAATGAAATTTGTGGACTGGCCAGCCACCAAAAACCAAACAAACAAAAAGAACGAAATTTGAAGTAGCAGCCATTAGGGATTATATACTATCACACGCCAGCTAAAAATAGGATTCATTTTAAATGGCAGACATGGGGACCTCATGTCACACTAAAGCAGATTTGAAATTCACTGGCTGGGGGATGAGGTAGGATCTAAATCTCTACAACCAGAGATTTTTGATTTCTTTAAAATGCCTAAAACCAACACTGGCCCAGTCTAGACGAAACACTGATTCTCAATTTTGGCTGCACCTTGGCATCTCCTGGGAGCTTTTGGATTCATTTTAAATGGCAGACATGGGGACCTCATGTCACACTAAAGCAGATTTGAAATTCACCGGCTGGGGGATGAGGTAGGATCTAAATCTCTACAACCAGAGATTTTTGATTTCTTTAATATGCCTAAAACCAACACTGGCCCAGTCTAGACGAAACACTGATTCTCAATTTTGGCTGCACCTTGGCATCTCCTGGGAGCTTTTAAGTACTGATGCCTGGGCCCTAACCTCCATAGTTCAACTTAATCAGTCTGGGGTATGGCCTGGAAATTCTTAACTCCACAGGATGAGAACCACTGTGCTCAGTTCTGGTACATTCCATATCCAGTCTTGGAGGACAAAATGGTAGTCACCTCACCAAGTGAATATGTACCAGGGTCTTCATATACATCTTAATCTTTGGCCTTGCAGTATACCCAACTTCCAGATGACAAAACTTAAGGCTGAGTACAGGTACAGATAAATAAACATAAAACTTAGTCTAAAAAGCCTATTTAGTCAAACTACTAATCTAAACCAGTACTCATTTTTCCCAGACCCTGAGTATGTCACCTAAATAAATCAACTGTCACATGGTTTGGAAAGAAAAGCTCAATATCAAGACAACCTCAACACCTTCAAGCATAATTCCCTATTACCAAGGCGACCACCCATCTTGACTTGCCAGGGTTTATGTCTGTTGTGCTGGCATAATTCCATCATCTCTTCCCATTCTCAAACTAGAATTTGGAAGGTAAGTTGTATAGCCATCCTATAGCCAAAACTTTTTTTTTTTTTAAAGATGACCGGTAAGGGGATCTCAACCCTTGACTTGGTGTTGTCAGCACCACGCTCAGCCAGTGAGCGAACCGGCCATCCCTATATGGGATCCAAACCGGGGGCCTAGGTGTTATCAGCACTGCACTCTCCCGAGTGAGCCACGGGCCGGCCCTTTTGCTGATTTTTAAATTGGGTTTATTTGAGTTGTTAGAGTTCTTTATATATTGTAAATACAAGTCCTTTGAATATATGCTTTTGTAAATCTTTTCTCCAGTCTGTGGCTTGTCTTCATTCTTTTAAAAGTTTTCTTTTCAAGAGTGAAAATTTTAAATTTTTTTTTTTTTTTTTAAAGATGACCGGTAAGGGGATCTCAACCCTTGACTTGGTGTTGTCAGCACCACGCTCAGCCAGTGAGCGAACCGGCCATCCCTATATGGGATCCAAACCGGGGGCCTAGGTGTTATCAGCACTGCACTCTCCCGAGTGAGCCACGGGCCGGCCCTTTTGCTGATTTTTAAATTGGGTTTATTTGAGTTGTTAGAGTTCTTTATATATTGTAAATACAAGTCCTTTGAATATATGCTTTTGTAAATCTTTTCTCCAGTCTGTGGCTTGTCTTCATTCTTTTAAAAGTTTTCTTTTCAAGAGTGAAAATTTTAAATTTTTTTTTTTTTTTTTAAAGATGACCGGTAAGGGGATCTCAACCCTTGACTTGGTGTTGTCAGCACCACGCTCAGCCAGTGAGCGAACCGGCCATCCCTATATGGGATCCAAACCGGGGGCCTAGGTGTTATCAGCACCGTCGTATAACTTCGTATAATGTATGCTATACGAAGTTATTACGGTCTTTTTTCTGTACATATATATTTTGTAAATAAAATTAGGATTGTACTATACATAAAATTTTATATTCTACTTTTTGTCATTTGTCATAGCATTAGCATTTCTCCATGTCATTAAGTATTATGCAGACATTATTTTATTTTTATTTTTTTTTCCTTTTTGTCTTTTTTACTGACCGGCAACGGGATCGCAACCCTCGGTGTCACGCCCATACCGGGGACCAGCAACGGGATTGCAAACCTCAGTGTTGCGCCCGCACCGTGCTCAGCCAGTGAACGGGAACCGGTCTCCACATGGGATCTGAACCCTCGGCGCTGCCACGCTCCCAAGCGGCGCACTCTCCAGTGCACCACCGGGCCGGCCCTGCAGACATTATTTTAAATGGCTTATAATATACATCTTATGAGCCTATCATAGTTATCATTCTCTCTAATGATTTAGATCATTTCCAGTTCTTTTATTATTATGAGTAATGTATAAAACATTTATGTCAAACAAAACATATATGTAAGACTTTTCTGCATTTCTATTTCCTTATAATGAAGAATTAAAAGTGAAATTACCAGATCAAAGGGTGTGATTCTATTTCAGTCTAACAAGGTGCTCTTTTCTAAGTTAGGCCTTTGGGCTGATTTTGAAATTAGAAGGCAAAATAAAAACCAACCAGGTTAACAAACAGCAATAATGCCCTCAAATCTGGGTATAATCTTCAAATGGGTGTAGTGACGTAGGACTGTTTATCACA